CCCAGGCTGGCCTCGAACTCACAATGATCCTCCTGCCTCAGCCTCCTGAGTGCTGGGATTACAGGGGTGCGCCACCACGCCCAGCACCTTGAGGCTGGTCTTGAACTCACCACTATGTAGCCCAGGCTAGCTTCAAACTTGCAGTGATCCTCCTGCCTCAACTTCCAAAGTGCTGGGATTACAGGTGTGCACCACCATACATGGCAATCAACTGTACTCTTTAAAATAAGTCTATTTGTATTATTTAAATTCTACATAAAAGGGATGTCTTGACTCATTCCTGTAATCCCATCCTTTGAGAGAATTGCTAAACTGGGCCTGGTGGCGCATGCCTGTAATTCCAGCACTCTGGAGGCTGAGGAAGGATTGTAAGTTCAAGACCAGCCTGGGCTACAGCGTGAGCCAAGGCCAACCTGAACTGCACAGTGAGACCCTGCCTCAAAAAACAAAACAAGGGGCAGGTGGTACAGCTCAGTGGTAGAGCACTTGTCTAGCATGTGCAAGGCCCTGGGTTTGATTCTCAGCACTGCAAAAACAAACAAACACAACATGAAAACAAAAGAAAAATTGTATACATAACTTTTTTTAAATCTTTGTTTTTGAGGGGGGTACTGGGAATGGGACCCAGGGCCTTGAGCTTGCCAGGCAGTCATTGTGCCACTAAGCTACAACTCTGGCTTAATTTTAAATATTTTACTACTGTTGGTTTGGGTGTGTGTGTGTGTGTGTGTGTGTGTGTGTTGCTGGGGATCAAACCCAGGGCTTTGTACATGCAAGGCAAGAGCTCTACCACTGAGACACATCTCCAGCATCCTACACATAAAATATCTCAACAAAACTGTTATAAGGTTATTAGAAGTTACAATGTATTATTGTCCTATGATCCCATATATTTGATTTTTTTTTTTTTTTGGTCTTTTTGAGACAGGGTCTCACTATGCAGTTTAAGCAGGTCTTGAGCTCACTTTATAGTCCAGGCTGGTCTCAAACTCGCAAGGATCCTCCTGCCTCAGCCTCCCCGGTGCTGGGATTACAGGCATGTGCCACCATACCCGGCTGCACAGTGAGACCGTAAAAAGTTTAAAAGTCTTTGGAAGCTGGGCATGTTGGCTCAGGTCTGTCATCCCTGCACTCTGAGGTAGGAGGATCGTAAGTGCAAACCCAACCTGGGCAATTTAGAAGACCCTGTCACAAACTACAGTAAAATGTTCTGGGCATGTAGCTGAGTGGTATAGCGCCTCCGGATTTCATTGCAGATACTCAGGGGCTGGGGGGAAGGTCACAGAGTAAAGCAACTGTCTGTCTCTGCTCCAATCCTTGGGCTGGATTCCCAGCACCACACAATAGAGACAGTGGCACAGGGTCCTGTAATCACAGATTGAGAGTGAGGGGGCTGAGGTGTAAGGACTGCAACTTCAAGGTGTACCTGCGCAACTTACTGATACCCTGTCTCAAAAATTTTAAAAAGGGGCTGAGTGGGTATGTAGCTCAGTGGGAAGGCCCTGGGTTCAATCCCCTTACCGCTAAGAAAAATTGTACTTACAATATAATACAGGCTACTACACAGTTCTGATGCAATTTTCGGGGCTTTCTGATTCTTACATTATGAATACATTAGTTAATATCCGGATAGCTAAGCTTTCTTAAAGAGAGTAAATGCTTGTAATAGCATAGCTCCACCACCCACCTTCGATTTTCACGTTCCTTGCCGGGCGTGGTGGCGCACGCCTGTAATCCCAGCACTCGGGAGGCTGAGGCAGGAGGAGCATTGTAAGTTGGACACCAGCCTGGGCTACAAAGTGAGCTCAAGGCCAGCCTGAACTGCATAGGGAGACCCTGCCTCAAAAAGACAAAAAAAAAAAAAAAAAAAAAAAAAAAAAAAAAAAAATTTCCACGTTCCTCTCCTTCTTGCCCCGTGTCCACTAAAGCACTCTCCAGCACCAGGGACTCGTTAGAGCCCCCAGAGGACTCACACGTTGGCAGTATTATTCAAGCCAAGTGCTCCACGAAGAGACACAGGTTAGGGTTAGGGTGAGGGTTAGGATTAGGGACAATGGATAATCCTAATGAGGCCATGCTTCCTAAACATTCTACCCTTCCGGTGAAATCGCAATTTACTCCCAATCAGATAATTTTTAACGCTTCGCCCCCTTTTTCCCTTTTTCTTTTCTTTTTGCAGTATGGAAATAGAACACAAGGATTCGAACATGTTAGGCAAACACTTAACCACCAGAGCTCAAACTGCAGCCTTTTTTTGTATTTTAATTTTTAAAATGTAACTAATTAATTTATTTACTTTGGTTTTTTGAGACAGGGTCTCAGTATGTAATTCAGGCTGGTCTTGAACTCACTATGTAGCCCAGGCTGGACTCGAACTCCTGGCGAACCTCTGCCTCAACTTCCTGAGTGCTGGGATTACAGTGTGTGCCACCACACCCGGCTTCAACCATTTCTTTTCTTTTCCTTTTTATTTTATTTTATTTTATTTATTTTGTTCTTTTTGAGATAGGGTTTCACTATGCAGTTCAAGCTGGCCTTGAGCTCACGTTGTAACGCAGGCTGGTCTCGAACTCGCAACAATCCTGCCTCAGCCTCCCAAGTGCTGAGATTATTATTTTATTTTTCAGACAGTCTCCCTTAAACTATCCAGACTGGCTTTCAACTTGCAACCCTCTCGCCTCTGCACCCCAGCAGAGGTGATTATAAGAGTACACAATGTCTAGCCTCCTTAGGCACCGCGTTCGTAAAATAACTCCTCGGTCAGCCATCTGAATGCTGCTGCACACCTTCCTACCAGTACCAGCCTCCGACACAGCTCAGGCCCCAGGCCCTCCCTGGAGGCTGCTGCTCTCCCGCCCTCCCACTACCCCGCCCGCCCAGGCCGGCTCCCCTTCCATTAACCTCTCGACTCAGTCCACGCCTCACGTTCCAAGCCCCGCCCCAGGGTGTTCACAGCCCCCACCCCTTGCCTGGCACCCCAGGCCCGCCCCTTTGCCGAATAGCCGCCCCCAGCACGCTGCGGCCTTCGCCCTTTCAGAAAGCACCCGGGGAGCCCCGCTGACCGGAATAACCGTCCGTCCCGTCCCGTCCCGTCCCGTCCCGTCCCGTCCCGCACCCTCATCGAATCTTCTAGCGCTGGCTGGCTGCAAAATCCTAAGGAAGGGCGCTAGGAAACCCCAGGCCCCGCCCCCTCGAGAACCCTCCGAGCCCCGCCCCATCGCACCCCGGTTCCCACTAGGGGGCGTAAGGCGCCGCAACCTGAGCCAGGCCACCTCCGAGCCCCGCCCCGCCCCGCCCTCGCCCCGGCCCGCCTCCCGGGAAGGCCCCGCCCTTGTTACGCACGCTCCTTCGGGCGCAGGCGCAGTGTGGCGCCCGCCCTGCGTACCAGCGCGGACACGTCGGCTGCAGCTCGGGCCGCCAGGGGGCGCGCGTCCAGCCGTGACAGGAGCCGCCGGGCGCTGGGGCGGGCAGGCTGGGGGCGGTGACCTGCGTGGGAGAGGGGGACAGCTCAGCGCCGACTCTGAGCCTCGGCGAACACCCGCGATTCCAGGCGTCCGAAGACATAGAAATACTTAAGATATCTGTAAAGCAGCCTGGCGTGGTGGAGCGCGCCTGTAACCCCACTCCTCGGGAGGCTGCCCCTGGAGAATTATGTATTTGAGGCCAGTTTGAGCTACATATCGAGTTCAAGTTACAGGCCCTCCTAGACGACACAGCGCTACCCGATCTCAAAAAACAACAAAAAAAACCCCAACAGCAATATCTGTAGAGCGCGGGGGTGGAGTGGGGGTAACTGCCCAGTGCTGGCGTGCTTACCTAGCACGCTTGCCTTACTGTTGGTTTCCTCTCCCACAGGCCTGACCACTGCAGGCGTGCCCCCGGAGCCGCATCCTGGCCCAAGATTTCCCTGGAGATTGCCGCCTGACTGCAGTAGTCCTGCAGTCATGACTCTGAACACCGGCTGAATTTCCCTATAGTCCGGGTCTGTCCCCTAAGAACTCTAGATGACAAGCTTCTTCCACCGTATCTCTGGGGACCCTGCTTCTCCCAGATCTCCTCAGAGAACACCTACTGCCCCTCGTACTCCCGGGAGCCCCGATTCCCTTCCAGATATCCCAGCCAACCTCTGCTACTCCCAGGAGTGCCGCAGGGGCTCCATTTCCCCACGTGCCCCACTAGCAGGTCCCCAGTTCCTTCACCCAGTGACTGCATGGCCAGGCGTCCTCGTGTCTCCCTGCAGAGCTCCAGGGAGACTCCTGGGAGCCGTCTTCTCCCTGGGTCTTCCTCATCTCCCTCTGCTTAAGGTATGTTTTTGTTTTGGCCCAATGTGGGTTTGAGTAGAGGGCCTGGAGCATTTGCCATTGACAGTGGGCCCTGTCCCTGCTTTGGCCACTGTACTGTGTTTACCAACTGCTGAATAAAAAATGTGAGGAGCAGATGGGGGGCAGGGCTACAGTGGATATGCACCCTCCCTGCCTGCCCTGCCTGGGTACCTCCTCTATTCCCTGCACTTGGCCCCAAGGCTGGGAGCCGCTGGGATGGAAGGGCAAGGCCTAAGGCACATTTGTTGTGCAGTGTGTGCCCATCTGGCAAGCACCCAGGTCTGGACGCTTAGGCCTGTCTGTCCGGTTCCTGGCTTCCGGGTTGCGCGGTGACCTACCTGGCTGCAGCCAAAGAGGACTGGCTTCCATAGCTCTTAGGAGTGCTTGGTCTGGCTCTGCCTTAGGCGCCGCCCCTGTTAACTGAGGAACCTGGACTAGGCTCCTCTATTCACCAGAGGGATGCTGTTATTTCAGGCATAGGAAGTGGAAATCAAGGTCCAGAAAAATTAGGGCACCTTCTGACCGCTGAGAACCGAAAACAAGGATGCAGGACTGGAGCCCAAATTATCGAGAGAATTTGCAGTCTCTAACAGTACTTTGCACCTAAATAGGCACTCATTAAATTTGCAGTTAAGCCAGGTGTGACAGCACACCCTTATAATCCAAACACTTGGGAGGCTGAGGCAGGAGGATCCCCACCAGTTTGAGGCTAGCCTAGATTTCAGAGAGTTCAAGTTTGGACTACATAGTGAGACCCTGTCTCAAAACAAACAAACAAACAAACATGCAGTGAAGCCCAGAGTGGTGACACACCTCTGCAATGCCAACATTCTGTCAGGCTAAAGCAGGTGGATTGAAAGTTTGAGCCCGAACTGGGCACAGTGGTGCATGCCTGTAATCTCAGCACTCAGGAGGCTGCAACAGGAGGATCACCTAGAGTTTAAGGCCAGCCTAGGCTGCATAGTTTAAGGCCAGCCTAGGCTGCATGGGCCACTTAGCGAGACCTTGTTTCAAAATAAATGAATTAAAAATGACTGAAAGTGTAGCTCGGTGTGGAGGCCCTGAGATCAATCCCTAGTAGAGGAGGAGGAGGAAGAAGAGGAATAATAATAATATAATAATAACGGGGAGGGCAGGTCCCCTGCAGAGTAGAGGAGAGGTGGTGGTCTGGAATTGCAGAGGCTTTGAGGGCCCTGGGGTGGGATAAGCCACTGGCCAGTGTCAGTGGAGGAACTGCAACAGCAAGGAGAAACAGAAAGGACACCCAAGATTTGGAGGCAGATTTATTTATGTGGATGGGCACTGATCGGGATCATTCCCACAGTATCAGGCCCCGAAGGCTCAGGGAGGGAGGTTTTTATGGGATTGCCAAGGGGAAGTACAGAGGTAGAGTACTTGGCTGTCTTTGATTGGGTCTTATAATATGTGTATCATAGTGACCAGCTATGCATCACAGTGAGCAGCCATTTCTAGGAGACAGAGCAACTGGGGAACTGGGGATTTAGCTCAGCGGCACAGTGCCTGCCTGGCAAGCACAAGGTAGTGAGTTTGATTTCTGGTACCAGAAGAAAAACGAAAACAAACAAACAAAAAAAACCAGAAGCAACCGGAACTGCGACAGGAACTATTACCTGGGCAACTAACAAACTGAAGTATACTGGCTGAGGGGGGACATTTTCTGTACAGAACCAGGCCCCTTCTTCTTCTCCTCCTTCTCCTTCTTTTTTTTTTTTCTGGTACCAGGAATCAAACTCATAACCTCGTGCTTGCCAGGCAAGCACTCTGCCACTGAGCTAAATCCTCAGCCCTTCTTTTTTTTCTTTTGGTACCAGGAATCAAACTCAGGACCTTGCACTTGCCAGGTAGGTGCTGTGCCACTGAGCTATATCCCCGGCCTACCAGGCCCCTTCTAACTGTGCAAAGGTGTATCAGGGACATAGGCACCAAGGAGGGCACCCTTGGACACCATGTGAACAAAGTGCAAATAGAAATAGCATCATAGCATCGCAGTGAGAGAAGGCCTGTGACTGGCATTTTGGAGAGAGAGAAATTGAGGGTCTGAGGCTCAGAGACCCACCCAGCCAGCAATACCGCTCTCAGGCAGCTTACTCCCACTTGGTCTGTGACTGATTTATTATGCGGCATGGACATGTTGTGTCCTGATGTGCACTGTGGCTGGCTGGACAACTCTCTGGTTCACTGTTCACTGGTATAGAGGAAAGGAATGAAGAGTACCTGCTCTCAGTCCTCCTGCAATCCCTGGCCTGACCTTGTCTGAGGGAGAGCCTACTGGACCTCCTTTGTGGTGGTGGTCAGTTTCTTTCCTGGTGCTAGGGATGGAACCAGAGCCTCAAGCACTCTACCACTGACTGACAGCCTCTGCCCTCCCCAGCCCCTGCGCCCAGTTTTTGTTGAGACTCCCAGCTCTAGGAGATGGACAGGGCAGCCTTCAGAAGCTTACGGACAGTTAGCAGGATGTTTACAGACTGAAGAAGGTGAGCTCGAGGCCCTATAGCTCCTAGGAAAGGAAAATCTTGTAGGCTGGGGCATTGTCCAAGGGCTGGGGAAGGTGGACCATGAGGAGAGGCTTCCAGGTGCCTTGGTCTGGAGCTGGTCCATCGGGTGGGATGGGAAAGCGCCTCCAGGCTGGGAGATGTCACGGCCCGGAGTGTTGTAAAAGAATGAGGGGTATCCAAGGATGACCTCAAGGATGAATTACAGAGGCAGGGGCCTAGGATGCCAGATGGGAGCCTCACTGAGAAAGCTGGCACCAGCAGGGCTGCCATTCTGGGGTAGGGGCAAAGATGGGTTAAGGGGTGCTACTTGAGTTATGGAGGCTGCTGGCAGGGGAGGGGGTTCATTTGCCATGCAAACAGCAGGGTAGAACCTCATCATCTGCATCATCTGACACCTCAACGTACCCCCTTGGGAAACTGGGGTGATGAGGTATGTATGGTCAGATCGCCAGTGGAATCAGGAATAAAGCCTCCAAATGGCCCGTACTGTGCCCAGCCAAGCTGTTTGGTAGCAGCATTGATGCTTATCTTTAATTAGTATTGATTACAGTCACACCGGGAAGGGCCAAAGCCCTTAATCCTTGTGAGTTTTTGTTGTTGTGGTTGTCATTTTTGACACAGTGTCTGGATCTGTAGTTCAGGTTGGCCTTGAACTCACTATATATTCTAGGCTGGTCTTGAATTTGCAGCAGTCCTCCTGCCTCAGCCTCCTGAGTGTTGGGATCCTAGGCTTGCACCACTATGCCCAGTGATACTTACAAGTTTAAACCAACGCCCCACTTATCTTCATCCACTAGTGAATATAAAAGAATAACTCCTCCCTTTTTTTTTTGAGACAGGGTCTCACTATGCAATTCATGCTGGCCTTGAGCTCACTTTGTAGCCCAGGCTGGTCAATAACTCCCTTTTAGCCTTACCACATTCATGAATTTGTCTGTATTTCCCATAGCCCCACCCAGTTTGTTAAATTATTTTTTGGGGTGTGAGGAATCGAACTCAGGACCTTGCACTTGCAAGGCAGGCAGTGCGCTGCTGAGCTACATCCTCAGCCCTGTTAAAATTTTTTGAGACAGGTTCTTGTTGTGTAGTCCAGGCTTTCCTTGAACTTATGATCCTTAGGCCTCAGTATCCCACAGTGCTAGGATTGCACACCACTACACGTGAGACAGCGTCCAGCTGACCTTGAACTTGTATTCTCTTATCTCAGGCTCCTGAGTAGCTGGGATTACAGGCATATGCCACCTTGTTCAGCTATATATTTGCATTTCACTAGAGTTTTACATAAATGGAATCATGTAACATGTACTCTTTTTATGAGGACCTGGCTTCTTTTACTTACCATAATTACTTTGTTGAAAATTTTTTGTGGCACTGGGGATCAAATCTAGAGCCTCGAGCATGTTCAGCATGTACTCTACCACTGAGCTATACCGTTACCCCATAGAATGATCATTTTGAGATTCATCCAAATCGTTCGTTCCTTTTTATTACTGATATGTACTCCACTGTGTGAATATGTGGCTTGTTGATCCATTCACCTACTGATGGACTTTAAGGTTGTTCACAATTGTGAGCTATTAACAAATGTTCTGGACTGAATTGTGTGACCCCCTCCTCTGCTAAATTCATATGCTAAAGCTCTAACGTGCCTGAATCCGGAGATAGGGCTTTAGGAGATAATTAAGTAGTTAAAAGAGGTCCTTGGGGTGGGGCACTAATTGGACAGGAGAGTAGCCTTGCTGGGAGAGGGTTCTGTCTCTTTTGGGTGGTTCTGTCTCTCTGACAATCACTCTCTTTCTACCCTCTCAACTCAATGTGAGGACCCAGAGGGCAGCCATCTCCAAGCCAAGAACCTTTACCAGGAGCCAAATGGGACACCACCTTGATCTTGGACTTTCCAGTATACAGAACTGTGAGAGATAAATTTCTGAGCTGGGTTTGGTGGCGAAGGCCTGTAATCCCAGCACTTGGGAGGCTGAGGCAGGAGGATCGATTTGAGTTTGAGGCCAGCCTGGACTACATAGTGAGACTTTGTCTCAAACCTCCCACCCCCACCACAAAAAAATAGGCAAACACTCGGAATGGCTGGGTCTTTTTGTGTATGTTTAACTTTTTAAGATACTGCCAAGCTGTGTTCTAAAGCTGTTATGCCATCTCACATTGCCACCAGCAGTATATTCTCCCTATCTTTTGCAATATTTAGTATGGTCAGGTTTTTAAATTTTAACCAGGGTCCTCAGTTAATAGAAGCAGCAGTGCCTGAGGCAGAGCAAGGCCAAGCATTTCTAGCGGCTCCCCCAGCCAGGCCTCCTCGCCCACGGCCAGGTAGGTCACCGCGCGGCGGGGCGCCCTGCAAGGGACTGACTGGCCTGCCACAGCCGCGTCCAAGTTGGGCGGGCCCGCAGGTGCACGCGCCCCTGCGATCAAAACTCCTTGCCCCGCCGCCGCGAATCCACTGTGCTGACCACTAGACATGGAGTCTTGCGCAAGGGGCGCTGAAGACCCTGCGGGGAGCAGAGGAGGTAAGGGTGGGGTGGGGGAAAGCCGTCACTGCCTGAGGGAGCTCCGCCCGTTTGCTTCTCACCTCTATTCTACAGGTGGTAAACAGCAGCTCTGGCGCCAAGAGGTGAAGGCAGGGGCAGGGACCTAGGGACAGTAGCTGCGGCTGCAGGGCCCCTACCCACACACCAAGTGGAGGGGCAGTGCATCAGATGGGGAGATGGGTCCCAAGGGTCCGGGGGGACTTTCTGGGAGGGATCAGGGGACGCTGGACCCGCAGGGTCCTTGGCACTTGACTAGGGGGAGGCACGGACCTCTGGGGAAATGTGGAGGTCCTCTGTGGAGGGACTTGGAGGTTCATGGGCCCTGTAGGGAAACGGGCAACTCCTGGGGGTAGCAGAGGTTGCCTAGGATACCTGGAGGAGAAATCAGCGGTCTCAGGGATACGGGGAATGGTCGTGTTCTCTCGTGATATCCGGGAAAAGCAGGGTCCCGGGATATACGGTGGGAAGTTTCTCATCTGGAGTTCTTAGGAGACAATCCAGGAACTGTAGAGAAATGAATCGGGTGTTCGGGTATCCAGGACCATTGCAGTCAAATGGGTATCTCCAGGGAAATCGTGAGGCAAGATCCCCGTGGTGGTCGGGAGTCGCAGGAGAGAGGGACAGTTGGCGATCTCCAGTTATGGAGAGAGCAGCTGAGGGACTCTGGGTATCTCGGGGAGCACTTCTATGTCTTCGGACGCCTGGAATCGCGGGTGTTCGCCGAGGCTCAGAGTCGGCGCTGAGCTGTCCCCCTCTCCCACGCAGGTCACCGCCCCCAGCCTGCCCGCCCCAGCGCCCGGCGGCTCCTGTCACGGCTGGACGCGCGCCCCCTGGCGGCCCGAGCTGCAGCCGACGTGTCCGCGCTGGTACGCAGGGCGGGCGCCACACTGCGCCTGCGCCCGAAGGAGCGTGCGTAACAAGGGCGGGGCCTTCCCGGGAGGCGGGCCGGGGCGAGGGCGGGGCGGGGCGGGGCTCGGAGGTGGCCTGGCTCAGGTTGCGGCGCCTTACGCCCCCTAGTGGGAACCGGGGTGCGATGGGGCGGGGCTCGGAGGGTTCTCGAGGGGGCGGGGCCTGGGGTTTCCTAGCGCCCTTCCTTAGGATTTTGCAGCCAGCCAGCGCTAGAAGATTCGATGAGGGTGCGGGACGGGACGGGACGGGACGGGACGGGACGGGACGGACGGTTATTCCGGTCAGCGGGGCTCCCCGGGTGCTTTCTGAAAGGGCGAAGGCCGCAGCGTGCTGGGGGCGGCTATTCGGCAAAGGGGCGGGCCTGGGGTGCCAGGCAAGGGGTGGGGGCTGTGAACACCCTGGGGCGGGGCTTGGAACGTGAGGCGTGGACTGAGTCGAGAGGTTAATGGAAGGGGAGCCGGCCTGGGCGGGCGGGGTAGTGGGAGGGCGGGAGAGCAGCAGCCTCCAGGGAGGGCCTGGGGCTTGTTAAAGCCTGGGGCCTGAGCCTTTAAGATTACTGGGGGGGGGGCTCCCTAAATTGTTAAATTTTGGGCGAGTCTGTGTAAACTGTAAAGGCTATGCACAAAGGTAAGGTCATTTATTATGTGTCCCAAACATACAGTATAGTTGTACTAATAAAAAATGCGAAGGAGAAGCAGAATTTGCTTTACAAAGGCCGGGCGTGGTGGCGCACGCCCAGCAATCCGGAGGCTGAGGCAGGAGGATCTTTGCGAGTTCGAGACTAGCCTGGGCTACAAAGTGAGCTCAAGGCCAGCCTGAACTGCACAGTGAGACCCTGACTCAAAACAAAAACAAAAAAACAAAAAAACAAAAAAAAAACAAAGGTGCGGCCAGAATGTTAACTGAAAAGGCTGATCCTATGTAGTTTCCCTTGGAGCATCCCATGACAGCTCTCTGCCTCTTTCACCCCCAGCCATTAGTGCGCTGGACTCTGCAGACATAGAAGTCACAGACAGTCGCCTGCCTCGTGCCACTGTCGTGGAGCACCAGTCCCAGGTATAACTTTATTCGATTTGATACGAACTGTCTTGGGGCTGGCAATATAAATACAATGTCCTTACTCCAGCACTGCAGGTCAGAGGCTCTGGGTAGGAGTACTGCACCACCTCGAGTGAGTCTGGATAAGGCAAGCTATGCTCGGAAGGTACCCCGGGCCTCCGATTTGTTCTCTGTGGAGTTGCTCCGTGGGCCTGCAGGCTTTGGCCTCACCTTAAGTGGTGGCCGAGATGGAGCTGGGGATGACCCACTGGCAGTGCGTGGGCTGCTGAAGGATGGGCCCGCACAGCGCTGCGGTCGCTTGCAGGTTAGTCCTAAGTCATCCATTCATAATTGGGTGCTCGGGGCTGGGGATTTAGCTCAGTGGCAAAAGCGCCTGCCTGGCAAGCGCAAGGTCGTGAGTTCGGTTCCCGGTACCGGAGAAAAACCAAAAAAAAAAAAAAAAACAAAAAAACAACAAAACATAATTGGGTGCTCTCCATAGGCTGTTCTTACACCACTGCCTTTCGGTACCGCAGGTCGGCGACCTCGTGCTCTGCATCAATGGAGAGTCCACGCAGGGCCTTACCCATGCTCAGGTCCTGGACCGGATCCGTGCTGGAGGCCCCAGGCTCCGCCTTGGGCTCAGGCGGCCTCTCAGCAAGCCTGAGGAACTGGGAGGGCCCCAGAAACAAGGTGCTGGGCTTTCCAGGGGTCAGGGTCCGGGATCTGTGAGGGGAAGGAGGGTCACTGAGCAGAGGCTGGGAGCCTGGGTGGAAAGGGTCTGGGAGTCTCAGGGGGAGAGCTGCCATTTGGTCTGGGTGGGATTGTGTGGCATTCTCAAAAGTGGAGGCAGAGAGGGGGAGCCCTTGTCAGGGTAGGAATTTCAGAAGGAAGGTTTTTGAGGTATGAGGACAAGCGAGGAGGGAAGGGGTCTGGGGTAAAAGTGGCTGTTCAGAAGGGTCTTAGTCCTTGGAGAGGCAGGCAGAATGGGTCTCAGCCGAGACAGAATGGGGGTCTAGTGAGCAGAGGGTCTAGTTCTGAGAGACAAAGGGTCTACAAGTGAAAGGGTCCGGAATCAAGGGAGGTGAGGGAGGGGACAGTCAGATGTCCTAGATTCGAGTGATTCATATTCCCAAGATCAAGGTCGCAGTTTGCTCTCCTGTGGGGGTTGTGGGAAATAATTTCTGAGAGGCTCGTCTTGGATGGAGGAGGGGAGGGGGTGGAGAAAGGTGTGAGGGAGGGCCCCGGTCACTGAAGGGCAGGTAGCTCCAGGCCTTGTAGGAGAGGTTTCTTCAAGGGACAGGTCTCTGTCTCCCACAAGCCTTCGGCTCTCCCAGTCACTCTCACTCAAGGGCCCTGATTTCGGTTCCCCGCACCAGCACCCAATCTAACCGGCAGTCCCGCTGTCCCCAGATCGCAGCCCAGATCCTGGAGGTCCAGAGAGGAGGTCTCAGAGCATCAATCTTTCCCCAGTACACCACCCGAGATCCAGCAGAACGCCCAAGGCCCGGGGCATCCCGGAGCCTAGTGCAGAGGCAGTGGCCGATGGTCCCGCGGTTCCTCCTCCAGAACTCAGCCCTGAGGACTCAGGCAGCCATATGGCGAGTTCCCCCGGGCCCTGGTTGGTGCCGAGCGAGGAGAGGCTCTCGCGGGCGCTAGGGGTGCCGGGGACCGCGCAGCTCGCTCAGGAGATGGCAGCTGGAAGGCGAAGGCATTAAGCATACATCAGACTGCTCTGTGCTCACTTGCTAGGGTCTCGCCAGGATCTGTCGCATCCCGACGACTGTGCGCTGGCGGTGCCCTGAGAGTTTCCTCTAGGTCCGGCCCCCCACTCCCTCTGCGTAGTCCACTGGCCACATCCCCGCGCCGAGTTAGTGGTACAGCCCTCCCAGCCCCCCACCCCCGACTTCTGGTTCTGGGCGGGGAAGGTAATAAAACGAACCTGTCCTGTTTGGACTCGCCCGGTGCTTCTGGCGGGGTGGGGCTTCCCCGTCCACCCTGGAAAGGAGGGGCTGGGTTGATCCGGTTTCAAAAGAGCCTCTTGGAACCACTGACAAGCTATGTGCTGTTTCTTTCGTGCTGCCACATGGGTCTTCACTTCTGTCCGTGCTCAGCCCCACGGGCTTGCTCCACATTTCTCTTCTCGTCAGTTCTGGCTCCTCTCTCCATTCCTTCATTCCACTCTTTTGGAGGCGTGCGGGGACTCTCGCGTTATTGCGTGTGGCTGGGAATGCAAAGATGGGCCTGTTGTGGGATGCACCACTGTCCCCACTGTCCTTGCTGTGAATTGTCCAGAGGCTCAGCTGACGGCGGCATAGCAAGTCTAAAAGCAGCCGGAGGCTTGCTTTGCCAGGAGCCTTCGGTCTCCCACTTGCGGCCTGGAAGGGCAGGTTTTGCTGGCACGTAGGCTGCCACCCTCAAAGCACGGGCTGGGGCCCTGGGCCCCCTTTGGGATTGAGCAGGGAAGGTGTGAGTCAGCACCCTGGGCGGGCCAGGCTAAAAAAGGCTATTAAAACCTGCGGGTGACGCCCCTTTTCCTTAGATGGTGAGGAACTGCAGCCGGCTGGTGCACACGCCCTACTCTGGGCGTTCCGGGCCCTGGGAGAGACCCAGTTTCCCCGCACCCTGGGAACCCAGCTGCACAGGCTGGGAAGCTATAGCCAGCGGGACTCCAAGCTGGGTAGCCCCAGTGCAGGTGCTAGCCAAGGCCAGAAATGCTTGGTCACCTCTGCTGTCACCACATCCTGAACACTCTATCCCATCCCCTGCCAAGGAGGGAAGTTGTGGTCGGAAGGGAACTGACAACTTTTACCCCTATGGGAAAGAGGCAGGTAGGGGAGAAAGACATTAGGACTGGAGTGTGAGTCCGGGATGGCGCTGTAAAGCTGGGAGCTGGGGTGTGAACGTGAAAGAGGCAGATTTTGGAAAGTTTAGCTGTAGACATTGTAGGGGAGCGTGTTCAGGGCGTCCAGCTCCCCTTGACTCAGCTTGGCGGAGGTGTGGCTGGACAGATGTCAGGAAGGGGTGATAGAATCCCATTCTCATAAACACAGGCACACCCAGGCGACTAAACCTAGCAACCCAGCCTCCACTTACTTAGTCTTATCCTTGCAAGTGTCTTTAGTACAGTATTTGTATCTAGTTACATACTTACTCAACAACCCTGATATGTCCATTTCACAAGAGGAAGAAGTCAGGCATGGCGGCGCATGCCTGTAATCCCAGC